TGAGCTTATTTACCTCGATTTTCAAGGCAACATAATGCTTGGGGTCCATTGCTCTTCTCTTCTGGTGAACCAACTTGACCTCACTGTTAATATTTAGTGCATGACATATGACATTCGGGCTAATCCCAATCATGTCAGCATGAGTCCATGCAAAAACGTGGACATTCTCTCTGAGGAAGCTTGTCAGTCTTTGGCAAGCTGAGGGTTGAGATTACTCCTGATTTTCAACACTCGAGTCGACTCATTTTGATCAACTGATACCTTAGATAGTCCTCGACTGGCCCATTGTGAGGGCACTCTTAGATGCGAGGATCCATGTTATCCTCTATTGGGTCGGGTTGTGGCTCGATCCTACTGATCGCCATTACCTGTTTAGGGATGCCTATTGGCCTTCTTTTTCCCTTGCACACCATCTACACTGCTCTTATGTAGCAGTCGCGAGATTCGTGTTGAGATCCGTTTACTTCCCCTATCTCCGTTGGGGTGGGAAACTTCATTTTCAGATGATAGATGAAGGTGATTGCCTTGAAATTTCTTAGTAGAGGTCGTCCCAAAATTCCATTGAAGGTGAACGGACAGTCTACCAACAAAAATTCCGTCATTTTAGTCACTTCGTTAGTTTCACCCAACGTGACTGGGAGTGAGATCGTTCCCCTAAGAATCAAATGATCCCCGGTAAAACCATAAAGAGGGAAGGAGGCAGGCTTCAAGTCTTCCTCGTCAAGTTGCATTTTCTTGAAAGCTCGCTGAAACAAGATTTCACGGCGCTTCAATTGTCCACCAACATTCTATGGACTTCGCACCGACCTATTTTGGGCACGATTACGAGTGCATCCTCATGAGGATGATGCAATTGCACTGTATCTTTCTTAGAGAAGGCAATCTCCTCCTCCCTGCAAATATTAGCGGGTTGCGACGCCGCGCTCATTACACTCACGGGGTCATAACGGGCTTCCTGAGCATACCTCTCCTGGGCACCTCAAGAATTTCCTACGAGATGTGGTCCTCTGAAGATGATCCTTACACAATATAGTCTCTTGCAACCACGACGCTTATTCCCTAGTTCCTCTTGATCCTTCTCCCAAACGGGAGTCGGGCCGTCAACATACTCTTTGAAGTACCCCGCTTGATGAGGTCTTCGATTGCCTGCTTGAAAGCCCGACACTCATCGGTGTGATGCCCATTATCTCGATGATAACGGTAGTACTTTTTATTGTTTTTGGCTGAGGCAGGATTCTTCATGTGCTCTGGCTCTCCGAGTAGGCTAGCCTCATCTGACTAATCTAGGATGGTCGACACTAAGGCATTCAGAGAAGTGTATTGATTCTTGTCGCGATCGCGATAAGGAACCGGGGCATAAGATTTCTTGGGCTCAAATCGTTGCTTCTTTGCTTTCCGTTAATCGTCATTAGCCTATCTACGATCAGTCCTCCTATTATTCTCCCCCTGGTTGGGAACACTACTCGAGGGACTGGGGTCATGGCGATTGAGAGTGGCCACATAATTTTCAATTTGGAGGTATTTCTCGGTGAGGTTATAGAAGCGGGTGAAGGAAACATCATCCTCGGATTGCAGTTCCTTCCACAAATCTATTTGCGGGCGAACTCCCGCGATAATAAGAGTCTGAACGGACTCTTTGGGAGTATGAGCCACTTTGTGGAATTTCCTATGGAACCTGTCTATGTAAGACTAGGGAGATTCATCCTTCTTCTACCGTATGTTGCTCAGGTAGCTCAACGACATTGGGAACTTCCTGTTCGTCTAGAAGTGTCTCAAGAATGATGAGCTCATTTGATGTCATGAGCTGATTGATCCCGCGGGAAACGGCCTGAACCAGCGCTTGGCATGGGCAGTCAGGGTTACTGCTAAGCAACGACATTTGGCCAAGTCGGAGACTTGGTGGAGTTCCATGAGGTCGTTGAACTCGTACAGGTGATCTTGCAGGTCTGAATTCCCATCAAATGCTTGCATGTCGGGCATTCTGAATTTCGATGGGAGAGGAGCAACTAAAACTGCTGGGGAAAAAGGAGACGCCTCTAGGACCTTCCCACGCACATTCTATTGAGCCTTAAGCTGATCAAATGCTCGTTGTAGTTCTTCAATATGAGGTAGCACTTTCCGTAACTTGGGTTCGACCCTCACGGTGAAAGACCACAAATCGGGCTTTTCCTTAAATCAGTCGGAAGCTCTGGAAAACCTTGACACACGCTGGCTGGAGCCATGCGAAGGTATTGAATGACTTGGGGAATTTTCCCGATCTCCGTAGTGGTCCAAACCAACCCGCGGATGACGGGGATTTCCCGCATAACAATGGTCGAGGTCGTCATTTCGGCGATATTGGGAATCTCACTGCCTTGCACTTTTATGGGAGTGCCCGTGCTACATGGCGTGGGACGGCTCATGCTGCGACATGTTATTGAGTTGCAATGCCACGGGTATTCTACCTGTTGCTCGACCGGTGTTCGCTGGTCCCTCGGAGCCCTTTGATCCACTGTTTACCACTTGCTTTCCCCTACTTTTGCGCACTGCAGTGCGCGCAGTATGGCCTTTCGCCCTTTTCCGCGCTTTTGTGTGACCTGCAGGAGTTTTTGGTGGTGACATCGCTTCATTGGATTCTGGTGGCATGACCTGATCCAAATAGTCCAACCTTTGGCTAATTATTTGGAGAGTATTATCGAACCTCTCCTAGTAACTCATTATGGTTGGGTTGAGCCATGAGCTTGAAGGAATATTCGCCATGATACTCTGTTGGACTGGCGGCACTTCGGGAGAAGTATCATCCTGTACTTGGGGGATTTCCTTGTTGTCAAGGTCGGTTTGCTCAAGTTTGAAAACCTTGAGCCATTTGCTGATTGTTAAGACCGATTAGTTAGAGGTTTCTGATGAAGAGCAGATACTGAATCAAGCCCTCCTTCTAGCGCCAAACTGTTGATATTGATAATGAGTCACACATGCAAAGTACGAAGCAGACTTAGAAATTACACGTGATATCAAAACATGAAATGAGAGAATGAATGAGAAGCGATTTTTAAAGTGGTTCGGATGCTCAAAAGTGAATCCTACGTCTATTGTTGTTGTATTAATAGATGTGTACAGTCAGGTCGCGCATGGCGAGTTGAGTTATAATCTAGAGAGAGAGAGTGTGTGTGTGTGTGTGTCTGTGTGTGTGCGCTGTTTTAGATTAAGATAAGTCAATCCTGTAAATGAGAGGGGAGTCCTCTATTTATAGTGGGAGAATTCAAGGTAATGATTATAAGTCTGCAAGTGGGTAAGTGCCATGCAAGTCCTTCTTTGCATCCCATTGGTTATCTGCAAGAGAAATATCATCAAATTGCGCAAGGCTTAGGTAGGTGGATGATCCTTGGCCACTCGCAAGCCTAGGGTTCACCTGCTACATTGACAAGAACCATACTTTTTTTCGTCACTGTGCGACGTGACAACGTCTGGACGGCAGAAAACCTTCATGAATCCTGATTGGCTCTTGCTGACGAGAGTCCACATCAATCCTAACTTTTTAGACATAACATCTTTGAATTTTGAAAACAACTCAAAGAAAAAGATGAGAGACAAGGGCCTCGAGGGTAAACTAGTTTTTGCATTTGATATTTTTTGTCCTCACTAATTTTTAACAAAATCTATTAAAATTTTTGGGATAATATTAATTAGGGGCAATAATTTTAAGAAAAGAAAAGAGTCCGTAATCACACTAAAAAAAATAATTGTTATGTTATTTCTTATTAATACTAATTAGAAATTGGTCAAATCAATAATATTTGTGAACAGTTTAAAACTTTTAAATAGCCAGTTTTAGTTAAGTTTTAAACTTGTAGTCATTTTTTTTTTTTTTTTTTTTTGAAATAGTTTATCACAAATTGATAATATACTTAAACTTTTTCAAGTATATTTGTCATTTTTTTCGAAATGTTGTATCAAAGATATTTACCCTAAACCTCGCAAAAGATAATTTAATTTCCCCAAGTTTCAAGAATTGTTTGTATACAAAGCAAATTATAATTCAATTTATAGTTGTGGCCACTAAAGCCTTATTTTAAAGAATACCTTTTATATAAATAAAAAATATTTTCATTAATTTGTAATTATAAAAAACAAAATTTTTATTCAAATCTAATAGTACTTTTTAAATTTAATGAAGATACCCTTTATTTTTAAGAAATAGACTTAATATGAGAGAAAATTAATAAATAAAATACATAAAAACTTGTAATTTATTTATTAAAATTAGGATAAAGAGTGAAATTTAAGTTTCTAAATGTGGAGAGTCAAACTCACTCTTTAATTTATATTTAAAAAATAAAAAGTCTATTGAATTCTTGTTTTTATGGATAAACTATTTATAATAAAGTGTTTGAGTCATACAAAAAGTCTTTGGAGATGCTCTTATAGCTTAAGACTTAAAATCCTGGATCATTTATATAAGTATTATCCTCCACCCTAATATCTAGTGATTTATTATAATGATATTTATTATTATTATTATTATTATTAAACACACCCAATAAAAGAAAATGGAATATGTACATTAATAATGGAAATAGTATGCTACCTAACCTGGTAATAAATACTATTAACTATTTTCTCCTATCTCCTCTCATTTTAATATGTAAATTAATCCATATTTCAACTGTTATCTAAATAATTACAAATATAGTATTAATTTTTATTTATAATTTTGGTTCTAACTTTTACCTTATATTTACTTATTTTTAATTACTATATTTTGATTTTGCCATCAGAAAATCATTTTAAAAAGTTATTGCATATTCTCAATATTAAAAATATGAATTCAATTTTAATCTCCAAAGCCAAATAGAAAAATATAAAGAAGAAGCAAGTGATTGGATGTAAGAAAGAAAATGCCCAATTTCGTCATTCCACTACAAGTGCACAACACATGGCATCCATTGGTTTCTGTTGCCACGTCACCGCACAACTCAATTCCATTCATATATATTAATTTAAATAAAACTCAAGAACTTCCCGATCCTTTTATAGCACGCATTCTCTCTCATTCCCTCATTTTTCTCTTCTCCTTTAAACTCCTCACCGGCGAACGTCTTTAACTGTCTTCCAATTCTCGCTGGCAATTTAGTTTCTCTCCTTAATCTCTTGTAGCTTCCAGTCATTCACTCGGTCCTTCTCCCACAACAATCATGAATAACGAATAGTAAGATTTAATTCTGCTTGAAATTGATTTTTGCACTGAATTCGGTATGATTTATATGGATCCGTGACGATTTTTTTAAATTTTTTATGTGTTTTTGTATTTTTTTTTTTTTTAGGTTAGTAGGATTCATATATATATATATATATATATATTTTAATGATTGATGAAATTTTATGGTGCTGATTGGATCGTTGAGTCAGATCTTGTTGATCTAGTTTCAGATCCACTGATCTTTTCGGTTTTGTATTTCGTTTTAATGATTTGTTGAGTATAAAATAAAACATAATTTCAAAAAAAGTTATGTCAAATTATGAGTTTTTCCAGCTGAAATTTTGGATAGAAGGTTCGAATATTTGATTCAGCTTTGCTAAATAATGAAACAAGTAAAACTCTAAGTATGAAATTCTCATTGATTTAACTGTCGGTGGACGTTGCTGAAATTTTATGCGCGTTTTTTATTGTTAAGCATATGCTAATTTGTTACTGAGCAAGCGAGTAATTTTCTGTGTTATTATATTCGCAGTGACTATTTGTTTAAGCTTTTGCTCATTGGAGATTCTGGTGTTGGCAAATCGTGTCTGCTTTTGAGGTTTGCTGTAAGTTCTTATTTCGTCCTGTAGTTATGTATTTGAAGTTTTAGTTTTTTAATGTATTTGTAGTTGCAGTTGGTAGATATATCGTGAGTTCTATTGAGTGCCGGTAAAATGTGGTTTTAGGAAAACATCCTTTTTATTATCGTTCAATTTTGCCAATGGAAAATTGTGCACTCTATGGCAATTGCCTGTAGAGTTAGTTTTAAATATTCTGATGGGTTCACGAATTTGAGATTCTTAAACCATGACTATCAGATTTTATAAAATGATTTGGAAGATTGGGTGTCTGGGTCTATTGCAAAAGTTGGGGAAAAGATGAAATAGGAAGTGAGGCTGCTGCCTCATGATGGTTAAAACTATTTTTGTGGCTTGTGTCAATGCACATTTAAACTGCATAGTAATTTTTATTTTTATGTTTTGTAAAACAGGATGATTCATATCTCGAGAGCTACATCAGCACCATTGGAGTTGACTTTGTGAGTAATTAATTTCTGTGTTTTTGTTCTTAATCTGTTTGCTTTATCATATGTATGCTGAATTAACTTTCTATTATGTCTGCTATTCAGAAAATCCGCACTGTGGAACAGGATGGAAAAACCATTAAGCTCCAAATTGTAAGTTCTTTTTGTACTTCTTTCTGTATTTGCTTTATTATCTGAACTTTAAAATAAGTTTCCATGTCTAGGTTGGGTATGATCACTGTTATATTGGAATTATAGAAGTTGTGTCACACTATCTCCTATTGAAATGGATTGAAAATTAAGATTGATGTATCCCAAAATTAATGACTTGCATAATCCGTGGCTATAATTATTCTGGAACTGCTATTTTAATGCTCTTAAGTTTCACATTTTATCAAAAATTAAAATTGTATCTGATTTCTTGTCTCAGAAATACTTTGTCATGTCTTTTGTAATGAAACATGTTTGATCTTACTTTCTTAGAATTATCTGACATCTTTTATGTTAGTATACTATCATTTCTATGTAAGATGAACTTCTGTAGCACTGTATCATGTTGTTTAGCTTCTGTTACATTCTCATCTCTTTCTTTATGTTATGTTTCCTTTCCACAGTGGGACACTGCTGGCCAAGAGCGTTTTAGGACAATCACTAGTAGCTACTATCGTGGGGCTCATGGCATCATTGTGAGTGTTTCACATTTTTCTAAATTTGTTTTTGTATCCACTTCTCACTCCGTGTAAGAGTTGTTCTCATGCTGGTTGTCCTTCTTCAGGTCGTTTATGACGTCACAGACCAAGAGAGCTTCAACAATGTTAAGCAATGGTTGAATGAAATTGACCGCTATGCAAGTGAAAATGTGAACAAGCTTTTAGTTGGTAACAAGTGTGATCTTACAGCAAACAAAGTCGTCTCCTATGAGACAGCCAAGGTAATTCTAGTTGTATGGGCTATTTTACATATTTGTTTAATATAGGTTGCATCAACTTCTCAATGGGACATTAATCTGTTTTCTTTGTTTAGGCATTTGCTGACGAAATCGGAATCCCGTTCATGGAAACAAGTGCCAAAAATGCCACCAATGTTGAACAGGCTTTCATGGCCATGGCTGCTGCAATCAAGAATAGGTACTGCATTTTTTAACTGCATTTTTTAATTTATTGTTAGATTGTTCTGAAAGAAAAACATAAATGATATTATTATTGAGTTTACAGTTAGTGCTTTCGTTTCGTTTTGTACCACTATCAATTTCTTTACCTGTTGGTTCTTTTGTGCAGGATGGCAAGCCAACCCGCCATGAACAATGCTAGGCCACCAACGGTGCAGATTAGAGGACAGCCTGTCAACCAGAAATCCGGTTGCTGCTCGACTTAAAAGAGAATTTAGTGACAGTGGACGTATGATCATTATTTGTGTTTTTGTGGAATGTAAAACTAGTTCTCTCTTCTTCATGCGATTATTTGTCATGATTTGCTTTTCCTGCCAGTTCAACAATCTTCTAATAATTCCATTCTTTTCAATGTATTTGATTTAAAAACAAAAAACATTTGTACAAATTAGGAATGTTGGTCAATAGCAGTATTTCTCTTGCTGTCCCCTATTCTGTGTTATTCTTCAACTTCAGTGTAGCTAATTACTGCGACTGGTTTCTTTTATTACACTTAAAAATTTCTTTATATAAAGAAAGTGGGCCGCTGAAAGAGACTTGGTAGGAAAGAAACTTTTTTCGGTTTCTAAATTCTAATACTTTAAAAATTTCTGCACAGAAGAATCAAGATAGAGAAAAAAAAAAAAATGATTATTTGATACCCGGTTTGAATGCCAATGTTATGAGGCCACATGTTGGAAAAAATCTGCCTCACCGATACGGATAGTAAGAAGTCCTTTAATAGACAAAACGGTAGAGGAAAATAGAGGCTGACAAAGGTGGAGATTGTGGCCTACACCCTCTTCAAATTAAAAGTCACGAGAGCACATTTAGTAACTTTGGTCTTAAATTTTCTGCTTCTACTGAATACATCTTATATGTCGAGACTGTTGTATCTCCCATTTTCTTTGAAGACCTCCAACCACGAGATTTGACAGTAACGTTTCTCGATAGTTATGAACAACCTAAATGTTCTTTGGATGAGCCATGTTCTGTTCTCTTCTTTCCCTCATTCCTCTAAGTCTAAACATCAAATGTTATGCAAATTCAAGAGACATTCCCACAACCATGTACTTTTTTTCTTCTTTTTTCATTTCGTTTAAATTCCAATTCTCATTTCATCTTTAACTAATAGACAACATATTTATCACAATCCAAGAATGCCAATTATAATTCTTTGCTGGGATCCCATATACTTTGCTACATAGCTCTTTCTTTCACACCGTATAAAATCAGCAAACCAACCATGCCAGTTGCAGTGTTGAGGCAAGTTTTGGCAGAAAATTTATCACAAAAAATAAGCATTTTTTAAAATCCTGAATTTATTGGCTGCAAGCTTGACCTGGGCGATCCGAGCTCCCAACCATCATACAATCATTTTTAAAAACTTTTGACAGAAATCCACATTACCCTCTCAGCACTGCCAATAAACTCCTTGACAGTTGTTTTAGAAAGAAAACTTTTTTCTGTAAGCTTACCAATAGTCACCACAAGAACAAACACCGTCCTTAAAATGGTGGAATCTTGTAGTATCTCTCACGATAATTTCTCTTTTTTCTATTGCTGATATGTGCTTGATGGCACGATGGCAATCCCCACATACTCTCAAGTTTTTAAACACTCGAATGGGAGTACCTAATGGCACTTTAATAATCCCAAAAGCTATTGCCAGCTTTTCACTGTGAAACAGCAGGAGTTGCTCTTTTAATTCTTCTCCTACATCATGCAAGGCAAACTCAAGGTCCGGCACATAGCCTGCCAACTTCATTTTCTTCTCCAACTCTCTCAGTTTTTCATGAATAGTAACCAACTCTTTGTGCACCCTGTCACCAGATCTAAACTCATGAACAACACTTCCAACCTCAATCCAACTATATCCAGGGCTCTTTACCACCTTATTTTCTTTCATTGATCGTCTAACCCTAGCAACATCATCCCATTTATTCATAGCTGCGTAAACATTAGCAAGTTGAACATACCCAGCTGCATTTGTTGGATCAAGACTAAGCAAGTTGGCGGCAGCAAACTCAGCCAGATCCAATCTTTTATGGATTCTACATGCACCCAACAGGGTTCCAAAAATGGCAGGATGGGGTTTAAAAGGTATTTTCTTAATCAAGTCTACAGCTTTATCTAGCTTACCAGCTCGACCAAGAAGGTCAACCATGCAAGTATAGTGATCCAGCTTGGCTTCAATTCCATAATCCTTTACCATTGACTCAAAATATTGAATCCCAAGATCTACCCATCCTGCATGGTTGCAAACCAGTAACACTGCAACAAAAGTGATCCAATCAGGCTTAATTCCCTCATCCTTCATCTCATCAAACAATTGGATAGCTTTTTCACCTGCTCCATGTTGAGCATAACCAGAAATCATCGCATTCCATGTCACAACATCTTTTCTCTGAATCTCAAGAAACAACTTCCAAGCATCTTCCAAGTCCCCACACTTAGAATACATACTAATCAACGATGTCACTGCTGTTGTATCACCATATAACAGGGACTTACATACTAGTTGATGAACTTGCCTACCAAACTGCAATACAGACAATTTGCTACAACCCAATAAAACACTACTCAAACTTGAAGCATTTGGCCTAACCCTTAACCTCTTCATCAATTTAAACAGCTTCAGGCCATCCTCAGCTCTACAATTCTCAACATAACCTGCAATCATAGCATTCCATGTGACCAAATTCTTCACGGGCATTTCTTTAAATAACTTCTCAGCTAAGTCAACCTTCCCAAACTTCATGTACCCATTAATCATTGCAGTCCAAGCCACCACACTCTTCACTGGCGCAACCTCAAACAATTCCACAGCTCTATCCAACTCCCCACACTCAACATAGCCAGATATCATAGCACTCCAAGAAACATCGTTTTTTTCTGGCATGACCAAAAACAACTCGCGAGCGTTGCTCATTCTCTTGTTACGAACAAAACCCGATATCATTGTATTCCAAGAAGCTATATCTTTAAAAGGCAATCGATTAAAGAAATCAAAAGCAGTTTCTATATCATCAGAATTGAGTAAAATACAAGACAGCATAATATTATAAGAAACCGTATCTGGGTGGGGAATTTTATCGAACAGTTCTTGTGCTTCCTTCATTTTCCCTCTCCTCTTAGAGTACGCAGCCAAGATTGAATTCCAACTGACTGTTGTCTTAACGGTCATGTTATTGAATACTTTAAGAGCAGAACCTACGTCACCTAATCTAATGTAGCTACAGATACTCTTATTTGATGAAATGATTTCATTGGAACTCTGTGCATCCAAGTGAGCATTTCGCGGAAAATTGGAGGAATTTGATTCTTGGGTTGGGTTGGCATTTGGGGTTTGGATAGAGAAAAAACTATTTTGGTGTTTGATTGGTAAGAAAATTTTGAGGATAGGCTTGGAGTATTGTTGGTTTCTTGTAGTTTTGAGGTAATGCATTTACGAGGGTAAAGAAGTTGAGAATTTCAATTAATTATACTCCGGAAACGGTGCATCATCATGCAAGAGGGGAACGATGATTAGCGCTGGAGTTGAAAAATATGATATTTTTCAAAGGTTCATTTGAATTGTGCCCGAGTCTTTCTTTCTCTAACTGCAGAAGGCAGGTTTTAATGTTAAATATAACATTGCATTGGTGAGAAAGTACGTAATGACTGGAGTGTATTGAATTGCTAAATTAGAGCAATGTTTGTCAGTGGAGTGTATATCATAAAAAATAGAACATACTTGTGGTTATTAGCGCCATATTTCGGAGTTGTACGTAGTTTTGGCTCTAGTGGTTACTAGCGCCATATGTTTTATAACCTCCGTAGTTTTGGCCACCATATTTCGGAGTTGTGCATGTTTTATAACCTCCGTAGTTTCGGCTCCGGTGGTCATTAGCACCATATGTCGGAGTTGTAGCATGTTTTATAACCGTCGTAATTTTGGCTCTGGTGGTTACTAGCCATACTATGAAAGTTATAACATCTTTTATAACCAACATAATTTTTTCATCACAATTGTTAAAGAATTGAAGTAATTGCTTATGATGAAGATAACTTTTTCATAGTAGTTATCTCTCATCAATTGTGTGGTGAATTTCATTCTCATTAATCATGTAGTGAATTTTATCATGATAGTTTTTTGGATCTCGTTAGCATGTTATTTTTTGACCCTTTTGTCACAAACGAACCGTGCGGCTTTAGTGCTCAAACTGATGAAGTTTGACACTAACTAGGCCACACCAACATTCCAAGGAACAATAAGAACATAGAAAGCTAATATGACTTTAGTGCTCAAACTGATTGTTAAACAATAGAGTCTCTGAATAATTCTATGTATATTTTCTCCTCTAAGTTGGAGGCAATTTATAGATACACTTACATTGTGAAAGTAGGAAACAATCATATTCTAAGGAAACTAAATATTCTTATATTTAATATACAAGATCGGTTACCTAACCAGATGTGTTCCTACATTTTCAACACACAGACAGCTCATGCCAACACTCCCCCTCAAGTTGGAGCATAGATATTAATCATGCCCAACTTGTCGATTATATTATGGAATACCTTCCCTGAAACTGCTTTTGTGAGTATGTCAGCTAACTGGTTTTGTGACGTGACGAATGGAAACTGCATAATCTTTTGATCTAACTTCTCCTTGATGAAGTGACGATTAGCTTCAACATGTTTAGTGCGGTCATGTTGTACAAGATTCTGTGCAATCTCAATAGCGGCCTTATTATCACAATGAAGATTCATGGGTTTTGCAAAGTCAATCCCAAAGTCTTTTAGAACACTCTCAATCCATAACAATTCACATACACCATGAGCCATACCTCGAATTCAGCTTCTGCACTTGATCGTGCCACAACCTTTTGCTTCTTACTTCTCCAAGTAACAAGGTTACCTTCCACGAAAGTAAAATACCCAGACGTGGACCTTTTAGTTGTTTGATCGCCTGCCCAATCAGCGTTCGTGTATCCTTTAATGTTAAAGACACTAGTTTTTTAGAATAATAAACCTTTTCCTGGAGCACCCTTTAAGTATCTCAATATTCAGTATACTGCATTCATGTGCTTTTCACTTGGTGCATGCATGAACTGACTTACGATGCTCATAGCGTAGGCTATATCAGGCCTCGTGTGTGACAAATAAATTAATCTCCCAACCAATCGTTAATAGCAATCCAAAATTATTGGGACTTGGTCTGGAAAAATTCCAAGCCTGTGATTGATTTCTATGGGCGTTTCTACTGGTTTCCAAGCAAGCATTCCAGTTTCAATCAATAGATCTAGCACATATTTCTGTTGTGAAAGAAAAATCTCTCATTCTGATCTTGCTATTTCAATTCCTAAGAAATATTTAAGTTGCCTTAGATCCTTCATTTCAAACTCAGTAGCTAAATATCCTTGTAATGACTTCATTTCCAATGGATCGTCTCCTGTCAGGACCATATCATCAACATACACAATTAAAGTTGTTACCTTCCCTTCTTTGTGTTTTATAAACAAAGTACAATATGAATTGCTCTGCTTATAACCGAATGCCTTCATTGCAAAAGAGAACCTCCCAAACCAAGCTCTAGGTGACTGTTTGAGCCCATACTATGATTTCTTCAATTTACAAACTTCATTTCCACCCGATGAATTACATTTAAATCCTAGTGGCAGCTCCATGTAGACTTCCTCCTCTAAATCGCCGTTGAGAAATGCATTCTTAACATCAAATTGTTGCAGAGGTCACTCCCAATTTGCTGCTATAGATATGAGAATGCGAATTGTGTTGAGCTTAGCTATTGGTGCAAAAGTCTCTTGGTAATCCACACCATACTTTTGTGTATACCCCTCTGCAGCTAACCTCGTTTTGTATTTGTCAATGCTTCCATCTACTCCAAGTTTCATAGAGAACACCCATCTATATCTGATCGTCTTTTTCCCTTTGGGTAATGACATAAGTTCCCACATAGAATTCGTTTGCAAAGCTCTCATTTCTTCATTCATTGCCTTCGTCCATTTTGAATCTGCCAATGCATCCTGCACATTACTAGGAATAGATACATTGGATAATTGATTAATAGTAAGTGTATACGATTCAAACAGCCTATGAGCGGAGACATAATTACTAATTGGGTATTTAACATGGGCTTTAGGATCAGGTTCATACTGTTTCTTTGGGACACCCTTATTCGATCTTTATGGATATCTTGGAGCTAAATTTTCTAAAAACTTATCAGATATGGGACTGGAAGTTACCTGAAGAGAAGCATTATGGGTTGATTCCTCAGTTAATGGCGTTAACATGGGCAACTCTGTAGCCATAGGTGATTCTGAATGATTTTCGGAAGGAGCCAACATGACATTCTCAATCTCAGAAATAATACTATCAAAGTTTTGTTGATCACTTCTTCCAACTCTTTCATTCACTTCTTCGAGCTCTAAAAACTCATCTCCTCTGCTTCCTTCTTGTAACATATTCTCTTTACTAGAGTTCTCCACCTGACGAGAAGGTATAGAGACTCCCCCTGAATAATAAGGTTCTGATTCACGAAAAGAGGCGTCCAAGGTCACATGTAATTTCTGGGTTTGAGGATCATAGCACTTATATCTTTTCTACAAATCAGAATAGCCACCAAAGACGCAACATTTGGCACATGGATCAAGTTTATTTTGCAAAGTCTTAAGAATGTGAACATATATCGTGCAACCAAAGACTCTTGGTTCAAGATTCTGGAGATGAGGAACTGAAAATAGGGATTGCATTTTTTGTTGAGGAGTTTTAAACTCTATCACTCGGGAAGGTGTTTGATTGATTAGGTAGACAACAGATTTCAAAGCTTCTCCCCAATAGAACCGAGGGATGTTCGTGCCAAACAGGGAGGCACAAACCACCTCCATTATATGTCTATTCTTCCTCTCCGCCAAGCCATTTTATTGCGGGGTATAGGTGCAAGAAGTCTGATGTCAAATCCCACATTGGCTTAGAAACTTTCCGAGGGATGTATCTACGAATTCCATCGCATTATTAGATTGCCAAACCCGAATCTGCTTTTGATATTGAGTGCTCACCATATTATGAAATTCCTGAAATGTTGTACAAACAACACTTTTTTTGTGAAGTAGAGACATCCAAGTCATTCTAGTACATTGATCAATAAATGTAATAAAATAAAGAGCGTTAGAAATAGAATGAATTTTTGCAGGACCCCAAACATCCGAGTGTATAACCGCAAAAGGTTCCGAATTTTTATTCAAACTTGGTAAATAAGGAATACGATGGCTTTTGGCTAGTTCACAGATATTACAATAAAAAAGTCTGAATCATTCATATTTGAAAACAAGTGTGGTTGTAATTTTTTAAGATATCCAAAAGAAAGATGTCCCAATCTTCGGTGCCATAACCAAATGGTTGCTCGAGCTTTTTCTTCACTAATAGTTTGGTATGCCTGACTGAATTTATGTCCCTCATTCTCTGTTAAATCCAAGTAATAGAGTTTGTCCCGTTTAACACCATAACCAAGAATCTTCCGAGTCAAAATGTCCTAAAAGACACAAAAAGAAGGCCAAAAAGTTACAGTGCAACCAAGAGTAGAGGTGATTTGACTAACATATGACATGTTATATTCAAGGGAGGGAGCAACAAGGATTGTATTCAATGTGAGAGCACTCGATCATAGTACAGATCCTTCTCCAGTAATAGGAGAGGTACTGCCATTAGTTGTAGATATAACAGATTTGGAAGATGGACAAATGGATTGTAACTGACCAGAGTCCCTAGTCATGTGATCGGATGCACCTGTATCAATAATCCAAGTATTATTCTTAGAAATGGTAGAGAAGACATTTGTCTTACCAACAATATCTGAGTGAGCAACATTTGCTATAGGCTGCAATTTGTCTTCTTATTTTGATTGAGTTTCCTACGTAGATGTCATCATAGCTTTCCCTATAATCTTCTTGGTTTTTTGAGAAGTCCCACCACTCAGGATAGCCAATGATTTCATAACATCGCTATTTAGAATGGTCTGTTTCACCACAATGATTAAATACAAGGTTGTTAGACCTTCCAGTTGATTGATTATTTCGATTCTTTGATGATCCTTTCTGAGTTTGGTTGACCAACATAGCCGAGTTCTTAGAGATTGGGTGAGATTTGCCCATTGTCTGTCATTGTTGATAGTATCTCCTCACATATGCATATGTGTTCTCCAAATCAAGTTTTGGGTCTTTTCGTAAGATTTCTCCACGAACTTGATCAAATTCAGAATTGAGTCCACTAAAAAAAAATATGAATGCAAAGCGTAGACATCGCGGAACGTAATTGGACCACTCCTTTAACCGTTCCTTCTTGAGAGGTAGTCTTATGATCAATTTCTTGGAAAATAGCAACAAGTTCGTTATAATAAGTTGACAATGATCTACCATCTTGTGTGGTAGAAAAAGATTTCTGATTTAATTCGAAGAGACGGGCTTCATCCGATCCATCATAGAAGGTTTTTGACATAGCATCCCATATTTCCTTGGTCGTGGAAAGATGGATAAATCGCTGCATCAGTAGTGGACTCATTGAGTCAATAAACCAGCTTTTTACTCTGTGATTTTCGGTAATCCATGTTCCGAAATTGGGATCTTCAGGTGCTGGCTTTTTTGTTTCTCCGGTGAGATATCCAGCTTTGTTGCGAGCGCCAATACGCATCTTTATAAGTTGAGACGATAAT